CAATCTATATTGAATCCAACATAGAAGTGAAGTTAAAAACAACAAAATACAAAATCCCTACAATAAGAAAGAGCACTTCAACATGGTGCAGTGCTTATCAAGCTTGTCTCGCTAGATAAATTACAACTGAGTAGGGAGTTTGATCCTCATTGGGGGCTTCTTACTTTCGGCCTCATATCACAACTAAGCTTCACTTGGGTGATGGGATTGATTCTCTAAACTTGGGTGACAGTCCGTCTAGAATTAAAAACCGTGGTGGAGGCAACTGGGTAATCACTCTACTATCTTTCTCAGAAGGCATGGCTATCCACAAATCTATGTATATTACTAAAACTCTAATCATATATGTATGTGAGTTCCAGAGATACAACTTAAACAAACATAATACCCCAACAAATTTATTGGCATATTGTTCTTTGAAACCCTGCCGACCGAATGCAGTGTCAAATTTCATTAAAATTAGACAAATGGTTCTTGAGTTTCTACTTTTTACGACATTTTTAATAGGAATAGAAAATTCAGTATTTGTTTTCGATGCACATTCTTATATCAATCCGCGTATATAAACAAACACTTGCGTATTTTATTCCAACTATTACGTGTGTGAAAAATAATAAACATTCGCAATACATTATAACAACATTATTAAATAGATTTAGATATACATAATACAACATATATTTATACAATTCACTATATTATAACTTTTTTATAAACAAATATCTAGGTGAGGAGGCTATATGGGTGTGTTATTGTAATATGTAATCTGTATGACTGTAAAATTGTGCCATATGACTTGGTGGTAAATAAATAAATAGATGCATGTTGGTTTGCCGCCGTTACATATTTTGAAGTAAATGTGAGGATGAAACAAATATGTATCATAAAATATACAATTATTATTTTGAAAAAAATACCTCGAAAAAATATGTTTTAATGGGGGAACAGTTTTAAGTAGGCAACAACAACCACTGTTGGTCTTCATAAACTTTTAGCAAGAATTGTTGTTTATCACTGTGTACAATTTTCGGCGCAAAAGAATTTAATGACAACTCTCTGACTGGTATGCCAGATAACATTTGTCAGATTGCCGCTCGGTTGTTATCGGTAGCAAGAAAAAAATAATAGGCAGGAAGTTTCAATTTCTACTACTATACCACTAACATCCGTTTCTGACATCGTGAACCAACATAATAAAGTAAAAAGCATTAATTTCGGAGCAACCCGCGTATTTTGATTCTTCCTATTATTCATCATCTTTCCGATATTTCTTCAGCTGGGTAGAGCCGCAGGGCTCCATTGTATTCACCGATACAGTAAAAATCGTTCTGAAAAAGACTTTGGGGCAAACAACTTTTACATAGCTCCGACCGTCTGTACGTAAGAGCCTACTTTTGCAGACTGAAGACCAATCCTATTCAGGGAATATAAGTTTGCAATGAATAACATGTAGACCAGTAATATGGACTCAAGTCTAATGCAACGTTATCTTTCTTTCGTTTTTTTTTTGTTTTGTTTTTTGTTTTGTTTTCTTATTTTTGTTCTTTTTTTTTTAGCTATCTTTTTGGTTCTTTTTAGTTCATCTAATCAACATTTTAAGTGTTATTTGCGGTCATATATTGATGATGGATTCCTTTTAAGTTACCTTGATCAATTTCCAATTAATTCTGTCGAATGAATATTTTCCGGTGGAGATAAGTCGGTTGGAGTAAGTTCTAATTTGAAAGGTTTGGTTCTGGCATCACATAAAAAAAAAAAAAAAATCAAAACCGACATATTGTTTTTATTTTTCATATTGTAAGATTTATTCAGTATGCAATGATAACAACAGCAATAATAATAAATTCTGCAAAGAAAGTAAATATGCATACTTCATGAAATATATATACAACACTCTCTCTCTCTCTCTCTCCATATATATATATATATATATATATATATATATATATATATATATATATATATATATATATATGTGTGTGTGTGTGTAGAAGGATCGTTCAAAAGTTCTAAGCCTTACCTAGGGAAGAAAAGCCACAGCTGAATATTTTTGTTGTGGTAACACACTACCACTTCTCATAGAACTAGAAAAAAAAACTAAAAAAAACTAATTCAGATTTCTGTCTTAATTCCTGTACAGGTGGGACTTATACGAAGGTGAGAGGTGTGCAACAAATCTAAAATGGACAACACTGCGATACGAGAAGTCATAAAGTATCTACAAAAGAAAGGTATGACATCCAAAGAAGTCTATGAGAACATTGTACAGACACATGATGGTAACTTCCTTTTCTATGGCACCTGTGAAGAAGTCAGCTGTGCAATTCAAACGGGGCAGAGATAGCACAGAAGATGACACTCGGTCAGGTCGTCCAAAAACCTCAACCACTGATAAACAAGTTTATGCCATTCACTGTATAGTTTTGGATAACAGACGTCTTACTGTCCAGCAGATAGCTAAATCCATAGACATTAGTTCTGGTTCGGTCTATATTGTTTT